TGCTATGCAGTTGCTAAGGTGTTCTGAGTGGTTGTTGGTGTGTTGCAAATGCTTACTAATATAATAGTGAAGCTTGACTTGGAAAATGTCACTAGAAATGGGGAAAATGGATTTCGACTCGTTTGGCTCTTATGAAACTTAATTTATTATAGTAACCGTAGTTCAACTATAGTATATGTAGAAAAACGCAGTAACCACAAATGTACTATTATTTTAACTATATCTGGGTAACACTTTATTTTAAGGTGTCCTTGTTACACGTTACATTAATTGTTATTATACTATTATAATAATAATTAATTATGCACTATTGCATGCAAGTAACCCTAAGCCAAACCCTAATAACCCTAACCATATCGTAAGTACATGTAGTTAATTAATATTACTCAGTACTTAAATGCATAATTAAACTGTAACAATGACACCTTAAAATAAAGTGAAATTTGTAGTAAAGGGAATAATAATAGTAATAATAATAATCAATTTGGCAAAATAAATCACGGATAGTACAGTTTTGCTTATGCAACAACACTAGTTTTTGTCCTGTAGAGAATACAAGTGGTGTTTACCTGTGAAAACAGTGTTGATACTGTTGCTATTTGGCCCTTATGAAACAATCAATTTACTATAGTACCCATAGTTCAACTATAGTACAGTATATGCACAGTATAACCACAAATTTACCATGGTTGACATTATTTGAACTATAAAATTTGGGAATAATAATCATACATTTGGCAAAAATAATCATAAATTTGGTAAAATGCACTTATGTAACACCATAGTTAGTTTTCACAAGGGAGATATGAGCAAAAATACACGAGTAAGTAATCCGAATGAGAACGAAATAAATGCAAATCTGATTAAAACACTGTAAATGACTATAAAATCTGTTTATGAAAAATATGCACGTAAGGAAAGTCGTTTCAGAGGTGGAGCAGGTGATGAAAGACTATGATGCACTGATGAATGAGCCACAATAAGAACACGAATTAAGCAAATAGGGTCGATTCATGTTTTTCAATGCTGAGTTCCCAGCTCACTATGCACCAGATGCTTTTACGCGGTTTGTAGCCCGTCTTACCCACTACGTCATGTGGCCCATCCATCCATCCATCATCCATGTCATGCACATCAGCTCAGTGCCAGTGAGTGGCTCAAGGGCAGCGGATCCGCTGTCACAAGCCCAAGTAGGACACATGAATCACGGAGCGCCGCGCAGCTGCGTGTTTTTGGTAGTTGCGCCGCATCCAGCGCGGCATCAGAGTTTAAATCTCACTGTCAGACGCGCAAGAAGACAGAACCCCTGCGGTATAAGCGCTAGCGCACGCATGCCGCATCAATCCTCTGTATTTACATGCGATCGCGCCACACGTGTGAAGCTGCAAAGCAAACAGATCCAGAGCAGGCGAGGCGATGCCCACCCAGCCCTGGCATCCACTGCTGCTGCAGACGCACAAGAATCACCGCGCTGCGGGAAAAGCGACGCATGCACTCACCTCGTTCACCTCCGCAGGCATGCTGGCGACGCAGAGCGGCGTGTGTGCGCGGTTTTTCTGGGTAAATACAGCAGTGTGCGGCTCACACATGAGCAGCCATCCTTCCTCCTGCCTCACGCGTCCACATGCACTCGATCATGCTCTCACACACACACACACACACACGCAGCGCAGTGGACGAGCTGCTGAATCAACAGCGATTCACACACACTCTTCACCGCCCGGCGAGGA